TAAAGAAAAGAAAGAGGAAAAAGAAGATAGAGATAGGTGCTTATGTATCTTTATGGGAATAAATGATTCGTGTGATTGAATTTTCTTCATTGCGTTTCTGCAGGGGAGAATTCTGTTTCTGGATTATTTTCACCCAATCAAAACTTTAGCTCGAACAATCATATTCAGACAAGTTCTAGTGGTTTGTGGAATCAGAACGGACAATGTAGTGGCAGTAATTTTGAGAGTGCTTATCCAGGAAGAAACTTAAACTACAATGCTGGCATTCAAATTGGCTCAAATGTCTTGCAAGGGGAAAATATTCGAAAGACTCTGTTCGCAGATATTCTAGACTCGATTTTTTGCCTGATGAAGCATGAAACTGGACATGTTCTCTTTGACGAGCTACTCGATTCATGCGTAGGCGATGAGTTTCATTTGGTTGTTTTAAAGTTGTGGTCGAATATCGAATTGTTTATAGAAACAGCCTTCTGTAGAATTGGGTAAGAAAGGAACCCTTTAATATTTTATCTACTCGTCTCCTTTTCCTTTAATTCTTCAGGACTTACTTGCACAACTTGTTTTGACAGATCAAATTCAATCCAGAAACTCATCAAAAATCTTAAGAGGACATCATATACCTATATGATGACAAGAATTCTATCCTCGAAGTTTTATCAAATAATGACTCACGACTTTGCGAGGCACGTCATCCTACAATGCCTCAATCTTTTGGATAGAAAGTCGAATGAGGTAATTATCCTTCTACATATTCTTGATTGCACAGGTACTTGTGCTGTTTGTTTTTCCTTTTAATTCTGTCTAAAGGGCAAAATAGTGGCATGTTAGGCACGGAGGATTTAATACTACTAGACAGTATGAATATTATTATTTAATAAAATGTTCCACGAATCTGTCACATTATTAGCATTTGCTACATATATTTGTTTGTACACTATATGACATAGTTGTCTCTTATCATGACATGTTTGGTCTCAGATACTCTATGAATGTGCAATACATTATTTCCTAGACCTGGCTAGACATGAAGTTGGATGCAGATCGTTGAATGAATGCATCAATAGCATTGCTGGTAACCAGAGAGATATGCTCCTGAATTGTATTGCACACGTGTCAGATTTCCTATCAAACGATCCTTACGGGTACTAATGATTGAAATTCTGTATTTTGAGCATGTCTG